AATAAAAGTAGTATTAATGCATACAACTTGGATGGGCCTCAAGAGAATTATGCTGACTGAAAAAAAGGCAATCTCATGATTTCTTTTACACAATATTCTTGAAATGACAAAATTATAGAGAAAAAAACAGATTAGAGATTGTCAGAGGTTAACAGAGGAAAAGAGGGAGACAGTTCGCTGTAGCTATAAAAACGTAGCAGAAGGCATCCTTGTAATGGTACTGTTCTGTATCTTTGAGTATCGTGGTGGTTACATGAATTATACATTGATAAAATTGCACATATGTAAACACACACATACACACAACATAGTGAATGTAACACTGGTGAAATCTGAATAAGGTCAATATTGCCAGAAATACAATGCTGGTTTAACAATAAAAACAAAACAAAAAAATGTAATTTACCATATTAAAAGACTAAAATAGAAAAATCTATGATCTCAAAAGGTGCCAACAAAGAATTTGACAAAATCCAACATCCATTCCTAATAAAAACTCTCATCAAATAAGGAATAGAAGAAAACTCTGCCAAACTAGAAAAGAGCAGCTATAAAAAAAACTTAAATCTTACTTAAGAGGACCATATTCGTCATAAGATCAAGAACATCGAAAGGATGTCCACTTTCACCATTTAAATACTGCACTAGCTGCTTTCACCTGTGTAAATTTAAGGCAAGAAAAAGAAATTAAAGACATATTAAATGGAAAGAAAGAAGTAAAACTTAAGCTACCAGTACTAAAGTAAGTTTTGTAAGATTATAGGATACAAAATCACTATACATAAATCAACTGTATTTCTATTTACCATCAACAAACAATTGAAAATTGAAATTTAAAAAACAGCATTTAAATAGCATCAGAATATGAAATACTTAGAGATAAATCTGACAAGAGACGTTTAAGACTTATACACTAAAAACGACAAAACAATGGTGACAAAAATTAAAGAAGTCTCATGCAAATGGAGAGATGTACTGTATTCACATATTGGAAAATACAGTATTATTTACACATAAATTCTCCATAAATTAATACAGATTAAACTCCATCCAAATCAAAATCTCAGCAAGCTTACTTTGTAAAAATTGCCAAACTGATTCTAAAATCTATATGGAAATACAAATAACTAAAACAACTGGAAAAAAGAGCAAGTTGGAGGAATTCCATTGAGTTCAGGATCTGTTATTAAACTACAGTAATCAAAACTATGTACTATTGGCATCTTAAGAGAGACATAAAAAGAGGAGTGGACAAAGAGTCCAGATATAGACCCTTACAGATATATTCATCTGATTTTCCACAAAGGTACATATGCAATTCAGTAAAGAAAAGGTATTCTTTTCAATAAATGGTGCTGAAAAAAATTGACTATTTGTTTGCCAAAAACAAACAAAAAAAATACTTAAATCGAAACCTTTCATCAAGTATAAAAATGTAATCAAAGTAGGTTCATAGGTCTAAATATAAACTAAAAATTATAAAATTTCTAAAAGAAAAAAACAATGAAAATCTTTTTGACCTTAACTTAGACTAAAATTTCTTAATATACCACCAAAAGTACAATTCATAGGAGAAAATACTGAAAACTGGGCTTCACCAAAATTAAAAATTGCTCTTTGAAAGACACTATCAAGAGAATAAAAAGCAAGCCACAGAGAAAATATCTGTAAATCATATATCTGATAATGAATGGACTTCTATATAGAATCTATAAAGAATTTTCAAAACTCAATGATAAAAATATAAGAAACTAGTTTTTAAAATGGACAAAATATGTGAAAAAATACACATCTAAAGAAGATAGAAGATGGCAAATACACATCTAAAGAAGACAGAAGATGAAAAAAAGGTACTCAACATCATCAGTTAAGAAAATATCATTTAAGAAGACAGAATGATGGCCTGCAAACATATAAAAAAAATGCTCAGCATCTCTAATCATTAGAGAAATGCAAATCAAAACCACAATGAGATACCACCTAAGCCCAGTAAGAATGGCCTGTATCAAGAAATCCCTAAACAACAAATGCTGGCGAGGATGCGGAGAGACAGGAACACTCTTACACTGCTGGTGGGACTGCAAATTAGTGCGACCTCTGTGGAAAAGAATTTGGAGATACCTCAAACAGCTAGAAATAGAAATACCATTTGACCCAGCAAGACCATTGTTAGGCATCTACCCCAAAGAGCATAAGACATTCTATTATAAAGACATCTTCACCCGAATGTTTATGGCAGCACAATTCACTATTGCAAGGATGTGGAAACAACCCAAATGCCTGTCAATTCATGAGTGGATAATTAAAATTTGGGATATGTTCACAATGGAATATTACTCAATTCTAAGAAATAACAGCAAGCTAGCATTGCTTATACAATCTTGGATTAAGCTTAAACCCGTTATCCAAAGTGAGGCGGCACAAGATAAGGAAAATGAACTCCACATGTACTCGCCATCAAATTGGTACTGACTGATTAGCACTATGGTGCTCAAATGGTGGTAGTGTTCACCAGGGATTCGGGGGGCGGGGGGGGGGTAGGCCCACACCACATCTTAGGGATGTGGTGAGCATTGTGGAGGGGAAGAGCATACCTCTAACCCTTCTTAGGGAGAAGCAAAGATATAAAATGTAACCAAATTGTCAAAAAAAAAAAACAACTTTTGTCGGGCAGATGGTGGGGGGAATGGGTGTATACACACATAAAGAATGCGATGCGCACTACCTGGAGTATGGACACGCTTGAAAGGCTCTGACTCGGCAGGGGGGGGGGGGGATGGCAAGGGTCATATATGAAAGCTTAACAATATGTGCACCCTCCATATGATGAAATAAAAAACAAAGAAAGAAAATGTCATCTAAAACCATAATAAGATGCCACTCACTAACAGCTAACAGCTATCAGAACATCTAAAATTAAAATAATAACCAAGCCAAGTGTTGACAAAGACATGGAGTACCTGGAGCTCTCTCATACACTGACTGGTTGGGAATGAGGTACAGATACTTTTAGAAAAGTTTGTGAATTTCTTTAAAACTTTAGTATACATTGTATCATACACTCCAGCCATTCCATTTACAGGTATTTATCCAAAAGAAACAAAATCATTATGTCCACACAAAAACGTATATGTTCAAAACAGCTTTATTTGTATTTTTCAAAAACTGAAAACAACCTGAATGTCTTTCAGTAGGTCAATGGTTAAATAAATTGTGATACAGCCATATAAAGGAATACTACTCAGCATTAAAAATAAATGAACTATTGATATACACATTAAGGATAAAATTCAAAATAATTATGCTGAGTGAAAGATCCAGTTGTATTCTATATTAAGTCCATTTATATAAATTCTACAAAACAAAGACAAATCTAATCACAGAAAGCTGCTCAGTGGTTGCCTAGGTACAGGGGAGGAGAAGAGGGTAGGGAGGGGTGGGAGATAGAGATTATAGTAAGGCACAAGGAACTTTTGGGGATGAGAGATATGGTTGTTATTTTGGTTGTGGCAATGGTTTCATGCATGTCAAAACTTACCAAATTTCACACATAAAAAATGTGTAGTTTATTATGCCTTAAAAAGATACCTATTAATATCCCTTATTATACCTTAATAATACCTTATACTTTAATAATATTTTATAACTTATATAATAAAAACCTTTCTAAAAAACACAAAATAACTCAGTTTGCCATAAACTATAACAACTATATAGTTATATTTAGGAGCAAAAAATAATAAAACAAAAATAAAAATGCCAGAACACTGAAAATAAATTTTAAAAGATAAATCAGGCAAGAATTTATCCTTATCTTACAAGTTCATGTAAAATTAATTCCACTTGGATTAAAGATCTAAATGTTTCCAGAACTTATATGGAATTTCTACAAAGCACTGACAAAAAGAAACAGCCCCACTGAAAGGTAGGCAAACACCCTGAATAGTCAAATTACAGGAGCAGAAATACCAAGGGCCAAGCAACGTGAAAAGATGCTCATGCTCACTGGTAAGCAACTTAACCCCCCCTTGAGATTTCTTTCACCTCATGCCAAATAGAGCAAAAAACGTGGTCTGACAAAACCAAAGGTTGGTGAGGATGTGAATAAGAACTCGCATATACTGCTGCTGGGGGCATTAACTGGCATAACTTCAGAACACAATTTGGCATAATTTAAACAAGTTGAGGCTATGCATGCCTGTGAACCAGCTACTACACTCCCAGGTATGTATTTTATGAGAAACTCTTACACATGTTCCCAAAGAGGTATACAAAAATATACAGCAACATTGTTAAATAGCCAAAATTTGGAAACAAAAATTCTATGTGCAGAGAAGTTTATGAACATGCAACACAATGATTTATATGATGGAAGAATCCATAGGATCGAACAAAAGGATAAAGGCAGTCATGGAATGCTAACTCAGAAACTGGAAGTGAAGGAGCAGGACACAAACAGGTAAAGTAGAGGGCTGTCACCTGATTTTCTAAAGCGCTCTTAGGTAGTAGGACTGCTACAACACTACTCATTGTACAATTCTTCATACCTTGCTGTAATCTTAAATAATCCATCATAAAAGAAACAATGTTGCTGGAATTTATGAGATAGAACTGATGTACAAAAAAATTTATCAGGTGAAGAACAGAAACTAGAAAGTATCTAGCAAGGGCAGGAGGCTCAGTAGTAAAGGACAGGTGCTATTTTGAAGATCAGGCTTACCACATAGCCAAAGAACAGGGAAATGCTGAACATGCTCAAGAGGGCAACCCCAGTGAGAGGAGCAAGGCTCCCTAGGGAGGAAAAAGGTGGGATGGCATGCACGTGCCCTCGTGGGGAAGTGTGTGGCATGGAATGAAGGCAGCACCACAAAGCCTTTACCAGTGGGTTAGGAGGCCTGGAAAAGAGCTTCCTCCAAGCACCTCAGGGTGGCCCTTCCTTCCTTAACTGCTGAGCTTCTTCAGTGCTCTGCACCCTCCTCTTCCCAGGGCTTCTCACTCACCTGGACAAAGGTCCAGAAGACATTCATTCTCCTCTCTCCAGGGCTCATCCCCTTGCTCCAGTTGTATGATGAGTTTTGGTTTGGAAAATGCAATTCCTACTCACAGGAAAAAAAAAACCAAGGTGACCTTGGGTTAGTGGTTTCAGAGGCTACCACAGAACTCAGAGCCAACCCAGGGAATGCAATCAAACCAGAAGGTGGTAGGGAAGCACAAAAAGGTGAGGTAAAGGGTGTCTGAATGCTGAGAAAGGATGCATAAGGGAGGAACCCCTGATTCTAAAGATAGTATACTATTTCTACCCTGTTCTTGAGTGAATAAAAATATTCCCCCATTTGAAGCAAGATAACCTTAGAGGAAGGGCCCAGCCTAGAAGAAGGGTGCTAGAAATGCAGTGTTGGAGACCACACACACACTACACATGCACACATAAAATTTCACTATGAAATCCAGACATTCTCTGGAGAATAGGTAAAGAACTTTTTCTCTCTCAATCAGAAGCATGGCAGCTGTCACATAAAAGCTTAAGATGCCCGCAGGCAGAGTCTAAGACCAAAAACAGGCCGGCCTTACCCAGTGAGACCAGGTGGCTGTAGTTCTCCAGCATCACCTCCCTGTACAGGTTCCTCTGAGCAGGACTCAATAGCTTCCACTCCTTCTGGGTGAAGGCCACAGCCACATCCCGGAAGGCCATTAATGCCTGTAACACAAACACATCCATGCTCACTCAAGAGCCAGCCATGCTCACTAATCAACTTAACTTAAGCCACTAACCGTGGCCAAGGAAACAAGAGGCAGTCCTGGAGCACCTAGGTGAGATTTATAGATCGTGCTTTTAACTTGAATCCTGGTTCTATATGTTCACAACTATTAATCCCTTCACACAATTATGCAGGGTCTATTTGTCAGTTCTCTATTCTGTTCTACTGATCTATGTCTATGATGTTGTCTAAAACACACAGGTGTGATTACTGCAGCTATACAGTAAGACATGAAATCAGGTAGACTGATTCCTCTCTCTCTATTATTCATTTTAAAAGTTGATTTAGTGATTCTAAAATAGTTTATGCCTATGCCTTTTTATGCAAATTTTATAATAATCCTGTCTCTATCTACCAAAAACACCTTGCTGGTATTTTGATAGGATTTCCATTAAACCTGTATACCAATTTGGTGAGAACTGACATCGTTACTATGTTGAATCTTCAAATCCATGAATACAGTATGTCTCTCCATTTATTTAAATATCCTATGATTTCTGTCATCAATATTTCTTGGTTTTCAGCATACAGATCCTATACATTTTGTTAGATTTATGCCTAAGAATTTCTTCAGCCTTCTTAGTAATTTTAATGGTATTATATTTTAGAATCAGAGATTATATGTTCACTGCTATAGGATACAATTGTTTACATGTTTATCTTGCATCCTGCAACCTGCCTGAACCTACTTATTAACTCTAAAACTTTTTTTCCCTAGGTTCCTTGAGCTTTTCTAGACAGACATTCATGTCCTTTGCAAACAAGGACAGTCTTATTTCTTTGTTAATGATTTGCATGCTTTTTACTTCCTTTTCTTGTCTTACTGCTCTAGCTAGAACTTCTAGCACTATGTTGAATGAGAGTGGTGAAAGCAGACATCCCTGGCTTATTCCCAGTCTTAGAAGGAAAATATTCAGTCTTCCCCTGTTAGGAATAATATTCCACAAACATTAGGACAGCTATTACCAAAATAAGAAAAAGAAGTTTTTGTTGGGCATGAAGAAACTGGAATTTTGTAGATTGCCAGTATTAATGTAAAACAGGGCAGTTTCTATGGGAAACACTTTGGTGGTTCCTCAAAAAGTGAAAGGTACAATTACCATATGATCTAACAATTGCACTTCTAGGTATAAACCCCAAAGAACTGAAAGCAGGGACTCAATCGCATACATGTCCAATGTTCATTAGCAGCACTATTCACAACAGCTGGAAACACCCAGGTATCCATCAACTATTGAAAGGATAAAGAAAATGTGATATAACATACAATGCAGTATTTTTCAGCCTTAAAAAAGAAGGAAATTCTGGTATGTTTTCAAGAGATAATCTTTGAAAATATTGTGCCAAATGAAATAAACCAGTCACAAAAGGACAAATATTATATGATTTCACTTATGTCAGGAACAGACAAATACATATAGACAGAAAGTAAAAGAGCGGGGTCAGGCACAGGGACGCATACCTATAATCCCAGCACTTTGGGAGGCGAAGGTGGGAGGAACACTAGAGGCCAGGGGTTCGAGACCAGCCTGTGCAACATAGCGAGACCCCATCTCTACAAAAAAATTTTAAATTTTGCCAGTCATGCTGGTGTAATGCCTGCAGTCTCAGCTACTTGGGGAGGCTGAGGCAGGAGGATTGCTTAAGCCCAGGAATTTGAGGCTGCAGTGAGCTATGATCGTGTCACCGCACTATAGCCTGGGCAGCAGAGTGAGACTCTTAAAAAAAAAAAAAGAGAAAGAAAGTAAAATAGAGGTTATCAGGGGCTGGCAGAAAAGAGGACTGGGGAATCACTGTTTAATGGATATAATTTCTACTTGGGATAATAAAGAAGTTCCAGAAATGACAGTAGTGATGGTTGTACAACAAAGTGAATGTACTTAATTCTACTGAATTATACACTTAAAAAATAATGTTATACATATATTACCACAATAAAAAATTGAATAATATTAGCTATAGATTTTTATACAGAAGGTTCTCCTTTGTTCCCACTGTCCTAAGAGTTTATTTTGTTTTATTTACAAATGGATGTTGAATTCTATCAAATTATTTTACTGTTTCAACTGATATAATTGTGATTTGCCATCTTTAGCCTTATAATATGGTGGATTATTACACTGACTGATTTTCAGATATGGAACTAGCTTTGTGTCCCTGGAATAAATCCCACTTTTTTAATACATTGCTAAAATATTTGCTAATTTTTGTTAAGGATTTTCATTTGTATACTCATATGGGATGTTGACCTGTAGTTTTTATTCATATTGTCCTTGTTTGATTTGGTATCAGTATATACTTGCTCCATAAAGTAAACTGAAAAGTGTTCCTTCTTTTCCTATATTCTAGAAGAAACTGTATAGCATTTGGTTTAAAATCTTCTTTAGACATGTAGCAGAATTCCATTTGTGGAAGTATTTTAAATTACAAATTAGACTTCCTTAATAGTTAAAGACCTAGTCAAATCATTTATTTTATATTGGGTAAGTTACAATAGTATGTGTATTTCAAGGTCAGTCCATTTCATCTAAGTTGTCAAATTTATGGGTGTAGAGTTAGTTGTTCATAACGTTCCCTTAGTATCCTTTTGATGGTTGCAGAATGTGTAGTAATACACCTTGTTTCATTCCTGATATTGTAATTTGTATGTACTCTCTTTCTTAGTTTTGCTAGAGGTTTGTGGATTTTATTGATGTTTTCAAAGAACAGCTCTTTGTTTCATTGACTTTTTTCTACTTTTTGTTTTTCAGCTGCATTGATTTCTGCCTTTATCACTATGCATAGAGTTATTTTGCTCTTCTTTTTCTAGGTTCTTTGATTGCTGACTTGAGACTTTTCCTCTTTTCTCATGTATAATTTATAGTGCCCTGAGTTTTCTTCTCAGCACTGCTTTAGCTCAACCTCATGTGTTTTGAAATATTGTGTTAAAATCTTCATTCACTTTCATGCATGGTTTTATTTCCCTGAAGATTTCTTTTCCCACCTATTAATAAGTGCATGTTTATTTTCCAAGTGTTTAGAAATTTTCCTATTATTTTTCTAACTGATACCAAGTTGGATTCCATTGTTATTAGAGAACAACTTTATATGATTTAAATTCAAAAAAATTTTAAGATAAACAAATTTTTATGTTTCATATGTTGTTTTATGAATCAGGATATGTCTATCTTGGCATGTTTCCATATGTACTTGAAAAGAATATGTATTCTGCTTTTGTTGGGTGGAATTTTTAATAAATGTTTATTAGATCCTGTTGATAGCATTGATGAGTTCTTACTAATTTTTGGTCTATTTGTTCTATCAATCATGGAAAGAAGGGTGTTGAAATCTCCAACTAATTGTGGATTTGTCTATATCTCTTTTGATTTTCCCTTCACATTATTTTGAAGATTTTTTTCATTTTCCTCTATTAAAATTTTTGTATCATTAAAAAAAAATTTTTTTTTACATCTAACAGACCTTCCCAGTATAAAAGCTTTGTTATTTGATGCACACAGAGTATTATTATTTGACCTGGTGAATTGACCCTTCTATCATTATACAATATCCTTCTGAATATTAATTTTCTTTGCTTTGAAGTCTACTTTGCCTAACATTAAGCAAGAGCTACAAGTGCTTTTGTTTGATTAATGTTTGCATAATTTATCTTTTTTATTCTTTTAACTTTTAACCTATCTCCACTGCAACAGTTGAAGTGAGTTTTTTGTAGACAGAATATAGTTAAGTCAGGTTATTTTAAATTCACCATTCTCTCTTTTTTTAGTTGGTGTATTTAGACCATGTAAATTTAATGTAAGTACTAATGTTAAGGCTTAAGTCTGCCATTTAAATTTTATTTGTTCTCTCAGCTTTCTGCCTATTTTCTTGTTACTGGTTTCCTCTGGGTTACCTGAACTCCTTTAGACTTCTATTTTGATTTATCTACAGTGTTTCTTAGTATATCTCATTGTATAACTTTTCTTTGTAGTTGTTCTAGGTGCTATGTTACATATATACAGCTTATCCCAATCTACTGGTATCATTATTTACTAGTTTGAATTATTATACAAAACCTTACCTCCCATTACATCCTCTCGCCCTTTCTGTTTATAATGTAATTTCCTTAAATAGTTCCTCTATATACATCTAAAATCACATTGGACAGAAAAATAATTTTTGCTTCAATCATCAAAAAGTTTTAAAAAATTCCAGATCTCAGAAGGAAAGCAGGTGTTCAGCATAAACCACATTGTTTACACAGTTTAGACACAGTGAGCTATTCTTAACAGTTCTGGGAATGATAGGAACCCTCCCAAAACTAAGATCCCAGATGCCAGCTAAAAGATAATCTTTCAAGCAGGTCTTTCTAAGGATAGCAGTTATCAGACCTGCTATGTTATCTCTTTACTGCACACGGATGTTCCAAAGTTCCCTCTTTTATTGCTCTCTTTTTGTTTAGGGTAGGTCTCATGGAGACAAATTCTCCTAGTTTTCCTTCATCTGATAATGTCTCCATTTACCCTTCCATTCCTGAAAGATTTTTACTTGGTATGGGATTTGGGGTTGACAATTCTTTTTTTCTCAGCATTGAAAAACACTGCACCACTTGTATCTAACTTCCATAGTTTCTAACAAGAAATCTACTGATATTCTAATAGTTTCCCCCCTATAAGTAACATGTAATTTTTCTCTGGCTGCTTTCAAGATGTTTTTTCATCTTCAGCTTTCAGAAGTTTTATTATATTAATAATGTGTTCTGGAATGGATTTCTTGGGTTTATCACGTTTGAGATTTATTTGGCTTTTTACATCTGTAGATTTTTGTCTCTTGCCAAATTTGGAGAGTCTTCAAGTCCTTTTTTAGTCCTGTCCACCTTCATTTCTCCTTCCAAAATACAACGACAAAAATATTATTTCTTTTGTTAAACTCCCACAATTCTTGAGGCTCTGTTCATCTCTTT